CCATGGACATGAACAATGGTGGGGGAATAGCTGAAGGGAGTGGGGGGTGTGCTGGAAGGAGGGAGGCAAAGGAGAAAAAATGGGGATAACTGTAATAGCATAATCAATAAAATGTAATAAAAATTAAAATGCAGCACTGGGGTGACTGGGGAAACTGAGCAGGGCCAGGGGAATAGATGACAGCCCGATATCAACGTGAACATCCTGGCTTCCAGGGACACGTTGTGACTATGTGGGAAGTCTTGTTTGTAAAATATGCACAGGAAAATATCCAGGGATGAAGAGGTATCAGGAAAGCAATTTTCTCACAAAGCTATATCCAGATTTTCTTTGGGATTGTTTCAAAATGATAAGAAAGATCGAATTTATAACTTCCCAATGAGAAAGGGCCAGGCCTAATTGGTTTTACTTGGTTAATTCTATCAAGAACTTAAAGAATAATTAAAGTCAGTATTGTGTAAAATCTTTTAGGAAATAGAGGAGGAAATACTTCCCAATTTATTTTATGAGCTCAGCATAACTCAAACTAGACAAGGATATTAAATGATAGAAAATCACAGGGCAGTATCCCTCATGAACACAGGCACAAAAATCCGCCCCCCCCCCAAATATTAGCAAATTGAAGCAGCAATATGTAATAAATAGGAAGTCCCCACTGTTGTGACATGACCTTGGCATTTTACTTAACTGCTCTGAGCCCCACTGTCCTCTTACACCCTTCCTGAGGACAGGGCCTGGAACATGGTGGATGACAAATTCTCCGCCCCTTCTCAGTGGCAGGCGTGGGGGTTGGGCCAGTAACAGAACTTCAGCCCACCAGGCACGGCCATTGGATGAAAGAGCAGGAATGTTACCTGGGTGGGAACAATCAGTTTCTCTCTTCCCAGGACTTGAATCTGGAGCAGACACACACACCTGGTGACCAAAGGCTGAGATGACGGACCATGTTGGCGGCACCCGCAGTTCCCAAATCAGACTCATCCCTGTCCTTCAGGCTGCCAGCTCTCCCTTCAACAGAGCAGGAGGGTCGCTCCCCACTGCAGCCAGTCCCCATTTGCTTGGGCAGTCAGAAGTCCTTTCTGTGGCTTGCAGTCAGCTCTTCTAACCGACACCAGAGGCTCATCAACCGAATTGGGAGAGAAGACACGGGGAAGTGGGTGGGGAGGCAGCACACTGAGGTGCGGTCCCCTGACAGGCAGGAGGGGATGTTGAATCCAGGGTGGTGGGGAGCAGTGCCCTCGGGGTGGGCAGTGGAGGCTGTGGCATGTACATGAACAGCAGGCCAAACTTTCATGTTTCTGATGCCTGTCTGATCGCATGGGCTGCTTTCCTGCCCCCAGAACAAATGAGTGAGGAAAGACACTGTACCTAAGAGTAACTGGGTATTGGATGTTAGACTGTGACAGCTTTCAAGGCTCACCTCTCTCTGCCTTTCTTGCCCCGAGTCTGGGTGAGCTGGTGAGAACACTCAGCGCTCCCTGCTTGGGTGTGTGGGGGGTTCAGACCAAGAACACCCCTACTGCAGCAGAAATTCTCTCCCTAGCCCACCTCAGCCACAATAAAAGGTCAGACTGGTGTCCTTTCTCTGCCCTCCAAAGGCGTTTTGGGGACTGCATGGTCTTTACATGCACTGAAGGCATCAACAGGAAGGATTGGGGAATGAATGGGGGCAGGTAGGAAGATGCCCCTTCACCACTCCATGCTGTGGAGCTGGTCAGGGTGACTCCACAGGGGACTGATGGAGCCGAACAGGTGAGGACCTTCCAAAAGGTTGTGTGGGACCAAGGGGTGGGGCACAAAATAGACTGCCACTGGTGGAGGGGGAGGGTTTGTTTGTCTATTGTCCAATCCCACCAAGCTCAAAAGGGGTTAGTGGAGTTGAGGAACGACGTCCACATCCCATTTTCCCCTGGGCTCTGTATTAGTCGAGGTCCCTTTCTCAAATGTCAAACAAGGCTTCGTGAGGTTTGGCCACATGCAGGTTGGGGCGGTTCTGTAGGAGGCTGTAGGAGGCTGAGTCACAAGGTGGGCGTCAAGCTTTCAGGACATCTTGCCACACAGACTCCTGTCCAGGACAGTGCTTCCAGGCCCTCATGTTGATCACTGAGCAGATCACACGTGGGCAGTGCAAGGATCCTGGGAGTGGGACGGGCTCGCATCACGGCTTCCCTCCACATGTTTCGGCCTCAAAAGCAAGCATGTAGCTCTGTGACCGCATGGGGTGAAGGGGCAGTGTTGCAGTGTCCACCCAAATATTTGGGCTGTGGAGAAGGCTACTATGAAAACTGAGAAAATTACAAGTGTTGGCAAGGACGTGGAGAAATTGGAACCCCTGTGCACTGTGGATGAGATGCCTAAAAGGGAAAACCATTATGAAAAACAGTATCACCATCACTCCACAATTAAAAATGGAACTACCACATGATTCGGCAACTTCACTTCTAGATATAATTCAAAGGCATCAAAAGTAGGTCAGAAGAAAGATACTGAGCATTTATCTCAGAGAGTTGAAAACTTATGTTCACCCCGAATCCTGAACACAGTTGTGCCTGTAATAGACACACTTGTTTATTTCTAACAACCAAAACTGCAAGACAACTCTAACGTCCTTCAGTTGGGAATGTTAAGCAGAGTGTGGTGCATCCACATGAGGAACCTCACTGGACAATAGGAATGATCGAGCTATTGATACATGGGACAATAGGAGAAGTTCAGAGAATAATGTCCATGATAAAGCTGATCCCAAAGATTATAAGCTGTGTAATTATATGACTATTAACAGTCTTGAAAAAGCAAACTGACAAAGATGGAGCAGAGGAGCGTGGCCGTGGGGTGGGTGTGGGCATGAAGAGGCAGCAGGAGGGAAGCCTTGGGGGGATGGAAGAGTCCTGTGTGTGGATGGAGGTGGCGGTCACATGAGTGAGCCCCGTGGTGACAGGGTGTGAGGCTACAGCTGCACATCTCCCAGTCACTGTACTCAGATGGCACTGTGATTTTGAAAGATGCACCATTGGGGGAAGCGGAGGAAGGGTGAGTGCTGATCTCTCTACTACCTTCATGTTTTCCTGTGAATGGACAATCATTTCAAAATGGAAGCTTAAATTAAACAAAATGGTCATTTTTCCTGCTGTTTAAAGGTGTTGAAGTGACATCATTGACTATGTATGGGAATTGAAATAAAACTTCAGTTTTTGTCACAGAAGAAGACAATGCAATGTGCTTGTTCTGTCTGAACGTCTCCGAAACTTGCAATTTAGCCCTGAGCAGCCAGTCAGCACCCAGCTCAGGGCTGCTGCCCTGTGGCCAGTGTCACACCGAAACTCATCACTGTTAGCAGGGAGGGAGCATGAACTTCTGATGAGCTTCCCGTCATTGCTTTGGGACCCCGAGGAGTAATTGAGCACTTAGTTCCACCCAGAGGCCATGTGTTAGCTCAGGAGGAGATGGCAGAGTTGTAATGATCCTAATAGCGCAACAGGGGACACAGTGCACTGGGGACAGCAGCTAGGTTCCTGTGGACATGGCAGGCTGAGTCACTGTCCACAAGCCAATTTCCAGCTTGGATAACAGAGTGGCTGGTGCCCAGAGGGAGATGAAGTCACTCAGCCCCTCCTCATAACCCGGATTCCTGCTGCTGCCCTGCAGCACAGCTGAGAGCGACCCCCCTGCAGGGGGCTGCCTGCCGGAGACCTGCTGTGGTGAGGATGCTGCTGTGACTGCTGCCTTGGGGAGGCAAGGGGATGGTGAGTGTTTTCCAGAGTGTCTGCCCCTGGTTTTGTTCTCTCCATTCCCAATGTGAACCCAGTCTTACAGCTGTGTGTCCCTCTGTGTCAGCCTCTTTCTTCATATCCGCTATTACGCACAATCATACTGCTTTGAAATACGAGCTTCAAGAATTTGTTGTTCATTTTTTCTTTTCTTTTTTTATTGATTAACCCCCCCTTTTTTTAAAACATGTAAAAATAAATACACCATGTTTTATAAACTTTTTTGGGTGTCCTCCCTTGTATCTTAAAAAAAATTCCCATTTTTTAAAAGTTTTCTTCTCTTTCATACCTTTCCTGTTGTGTTCATGGTTATTTTCAGTTTTCTTCTTTACCTTGATTTCAAAAAATCTCCCAACATAGAACTGAAATATTTTTCCCGAGTCTATTATTTCACTCATACACACGGGACTGCCGACTGAAACCCATTACACATTGGTGCCCTGATCTACACCGGGCTCCCTCTCTGACCAGCCCTCCGGGGCCCTTCCCCACACAAGGGCTCATCTCAGCAGGCTTCTGTCTGCCATCTTGCTTCTCTCTGTTGGCTGCACATTCTGTTCGGTTTGTATTCACTTGTTTTCAGGGCCTAGTTTAAATACTCGACAATGTTTTATTTCTTTCACATATACATGTAATGCTTTTCCTTACCAGTAATCATACGTCATTTTCTTCATTGTCTTATTTTTCTGCTTCTATGCATATACCACTCCTTTTTCTTGCCATTTACAGTATCCCTGCTGTCTTTAAGATGTTTGCTACTGTCCACATTTTCAGGAGTATGATTGTTATTCTTTTTCCTTCGTCATTTTTTTCTAACCCTTATCTACTATCTTTTAGCTCTGGCTGGTGTGGTTCAGTGAATTGAATACCAGCCTGCAAACCAAATGGTCACCAGTTCTATCCTAGTCATGCCACATGAGCCACATGAAACACACTGATGTTTCTCTCCCTCTCTTTCTCTTTCCCTTCCCCTCTCTAAAATTAATTAATAAAATCTCTTTTAAAAATCTACTATATTATGGGATAAATTATTTGGCAAGCCCTAATCCATTCTGCATACCTGAATTTGAAGTTATGTTTCTGACAAATAACTCCCTTCCCCACAGGGCTTGTTATTACATTCCCTTTACATTTAAATGTCCCTGAAACTTGAAACTACTTCTCAGTCTTAATTGTTTTTAGGTTTACATTCATAGTCAAATGATTTGTCTGCAGGATGTGCTGTCCTTGGCTGGAAGATCTAAAAGAGACAGACACACAGTGATGTCCAGAGACACCCTGTTTGGGATCCTCCTCGCCATTCAGACTGGTACTGGTTTCCTGGGGAACTCCTTGCTGTTTGCTTTATACATGCACACCTTCTTCGCTCTGCCCCACAAGAAGAAGCCTGCTGATGGGATCCTTGCCCACTTAACTTTGGCTAACGCCCTGACCCTCCTATTCAGAGGAGTTCCAAGTATAATTAGTTCCTTTGGAATGAAGCCCGATATAGGCGACACTGGGTGTAAAGTAGTTCTCTACATTCAGAGTTACCCGGAGTATTTCTCTGTACACAACCTCCCTCCAGAGCACATTCCAGGTGGTGACCATTGCTCTCAGTGGTCGTAAATGGACCTGGCTGAAGAACAACATCTCTACACTCATTCAACCCTCCATATTTTCTTGCTGGGTCATCAGCATGGTCATCTATTCTCAGATTATCTTAAAAGTTGTGGCCAACAGGAATACCACTGACATTACATCTGGGTATTATAGTTCCTTTTGCAAGGTCAGTACATATGATCACCAGGTGGCCATGATATTTCTCAGTACAGTGCTCATTCAGGATGTGTTCTTTCTCTCCCTAATGGTGTGCAGTAGCGTCTACATGGTGACCGTTCTTTCCAGACACCACAAAATAGCTCGGCTCGTCCGCAGTAGCGTCGACTCCTCACGAAGCTCTCCAGAACACAGAGCCACCCACCTCATCCTCATGCTAGTGTGCTGTTACCCGACCATCTGTCCTTTTGTACTAATGAAAAATGAGAAGAGAATTTCCAGAGTGAATTTCATGAATAGAAGGACCAGAAATTTCTTTTGTCAAAGTAAATTAAATGATCCTATGAACACTCCTCAGCATTTGTCTTCACAACATGATTCATTTATATGTGTCCAGAGTCACAAGGTTATCGATGAACCTCGTGGATATATTTAGTCCCCATTGTGCCGAGTTAACAGGAAGTAAAATCAATGCCTTGGCCAGTTATGAAACTTTTTAGATGTTACATGTAACATTTAGTGTTTAGAATAACCCTGTTATACGTGATTTAAGCTTTAAAACAATAACATATGTAATGTATGATGTTTTGTAATATTGGAAACATTATAAAATCATAAATTCATAAAAATTGATAAACCAACCAAAGGGCAGTGTTTTGAGTGTAAGTTCATTATAACCCTAAGTTAGGTGGTGAAATATACCTGTGTGTTAAATTGTACTCTACCCTTTACTATGTCAGAAATATTTTTGGTTTAGTTTTTTAAAGCTAAATTCTTTAGATGTAAATATCAATTCAGAAATGCCTTCAAACTTGTAGTAATTATTTACCTAGAGTGAGGTAGAGCAGGGACACTGAGAGATGAACACCATTTTTCATGAGGACTGTTGAGCATACAGTCGAACTGGGGCATTGAAAATTCAACATAAAAAGAATAAAGAGACCAAAAGGTCGATGCTCGAGACCTAGGGACCCCCTCTGGGCAGAGACAGATGGAAGGACTTCTCAGTGTTACCTGTTCCTCCAAGGGGCTCATCCTAACATGCAGAGTAGCGGCAGTGTCTGTGTCAGTCCCTTTGGTCTTTGGGTGAGGGGTCAAGTTTAAGTTCAGGTTCAGGTTTGAGGTTAGTGTCAGAGTCCAGTTTGGGGTTTGCATTCAGGTTAGGATTAGAGTTGGGGTTAGTGTAGGGACCAGGGTCAGAGTTAGGGTTAGAGTTGGGGGTGCAGGTTTGGGCTGGGGCTAGGGCTGAGTGTATGGCTTAATGTTAGAGCTTATGGTTGAGTTTGGTGTTAGGGTTTGGGTTAAGGTAGAGTTTGATTTCTTTCTTGTTGTGCTTTTGACTTCATGTTTAAGAAGGTTTTGACAAATCAAGATTATTATGTTTTACTTCTGTTTTGTTATATAGTTTTATGGACTTGCTCCTACCTTTGGTTCTGAGATGTTTTGTTTTACTTTTAAAGTTAGGTTCCAATTTTCTCTTCTTTTTAATCTTCACCCAGGAACATGCTTATTGATTTTAGAGAGATGGGAATAGGGAAACAGAGAGAGAGAGAGGCAGAGAGAGAGGGAGGAGGGAGGGAGAGAGAGAGAGAGAGAGAGAGAGAGAGAGAGAGAGAGAGAGAGAGAGGGAGAGAGAGGAGGGGAGATAGAGAGACAGAGAGACATCAGTGTGAGAGAGGAACGTCGATTGATCCCCTCTGAAAAACGCCCTGACTGTGGACCGTATCTGCTACATAGGCTTGTGCCCTGACTGAGAATGGAACTCGCCACCTTTCAGTCTGTGGGCCTATGCCTAACCCTCTGAGCCACAATATCACAATGATATAAAACTAACCTGTTTTCTAAAACAGACTAAGGATTTAATAGACATTTATCAAAAGAAGACATACGAATAGCCAACAGGAATAAGAAAAAAATGCTCTCACCACTAATCATCACAGAAATACAAATCAAGACTTGATATCATTTTGCACCTGTCGGGATGGCTGTTATCAAAAAAAGAGCAATATTGGCAAAGATGTGGAGATATTGAAACTCTTGCATTCTGTTCTTGGGAGTGAAAAATTGTGTGGTCACTATAGAAAACTGTATGAAGACTCCTTAAAAATTAAAAATAGAATCACCACATGGGCCAGCAATTCTACTTCTGGGTATTTATCCAAAAGAATTAAAGTCAGGACCACTGACTTTATCGGCACCCCTATGCTCACTGGACCACTGTTCACTAGAGCCAAGATGTGAAAACAACCCAAGTGTCCATGAGACACATGTGAATAAAGAAAATGTAGCATATATGTGCCCTGGAATATTATTCAGCCCTAAAACACAGGGAAATTCTACAGCCTGTGAAAACATGGCTGAACCTTGAGGACATTAGTTTAAGAGGAATAAGCCATTCACAGAAAGACAAATGCTGCCTTTTGGACCATTTATGTGAGGTACCTAAAACAGCCAAATTCACAGAAACAGAGTGGAAGGAACAATGGTTGTCAGAGGTGAAGGGGGTGGAAAAATGAAGAGTTACTAATCTCAGGACACAGAGTTTTAGATCAACAAGATGAGTAAGTTCCAGAGACCTGGTGGACAACATTGTACTGTACACTCAAAATTTCACTAGGTCAGTCTGCTATTAAGTGTTCTTCCCACAATAAAATAAGGTCAAAATGCATACTGGTTCTATATATCAATTAATAAAGTTATCTGATAAAAATTAAGCAAAAGAAATCATAACAAATCTTTGCTGTTTGACTTCTTGTCTAAAACGCTGGCCACCTCTGGAGCCTGCTCCTTCATCTATGAGATGTAGACCATTCTGTCCGCCTTGCAGACTGATGACACAATGGAGTGAGGTCATCCCTTTAAAGTGTCTAGCACAACGCCTAGCACACAGTAAGAGCCCAATAATGGTTTTTAAATGCTAGATGATACTTGAGCTTCTTTCCAGCCCAGACATAAGCAGCTAGCATTGCCTTATCATTTTCTTTTTCTTTCTGACCCCAGCTGTTCCTTATTAAAATGCTGCAATGTTGTGGTGAAGTAAAAAACTGATCCAGTCATTTTTGAGCATCAAAAAGCCAACCAGCTGACACCAATACCCCTGTGATGACTCTAAGTGTCACGGGTGGGCCCCATCTTCTCTGATGGAAAGACGAGGACACAGCTCATTGAAGGCCACACATGTGAAGGAACCAAGCAAGAGAGGTCTGAGACTCGGCCCCCTCCAGGCCCTCTGGCTCTACTTGTAAACTTGTAAATAACTTACTAGAGTTACTAACACACTATTTCTCTCTCATTTGGGTGTTTTCCAATTATACTTATAAACATACCCCTCTGCTCAAAGCTCAAAGCCAAATACTCAGTAGGCTGTATATTCATTCCCACAGCCAAAGTCTCTGTTTTAAACCTTTCTCTGTAGAGCCTTGTTTATAACATTTAGACCACTAGTACAAACAAATTAATGTGCTAATGAGATATTTTATAATGTTACAGTTAAATAGTAAAGGCAGCACTCCACACCTCAGCTAGACATTTACATAACTGCATTACCAGCATTTGCATGAGCCACAATGAACATTAGGGGAGGGAACTTGCTTATTTCCTATTAACTCCAGAATAGAACGTGGTTCTTCTTTGCCCTTACAAATAAAGCTTCACTGCTGTTTTAAAAACAGACACTACAGATGCGCTATTTTATGGTTCCCAGTTACTATGAGGGAGCAGCAGCAAGTTTCATAAGAAGGAAAAAATTGTTTGCTGGAAATTTACACTTATTCCAAATGAATTGCATCAAATACTCAACTTTTTCTGTTTATGCACTTGCTTCCTGACTTTTGACAGATCAGCTTCTCACCTCACATATTGTCACTTGTAAAGATTAATTTCTTCACATCAGTTTTACCCAAATCTCTTTATATATACTCAGTAGAAAAAAAGATCAGATAACAATCCTGGCCAATCCATACAATTAATTAATCAATCAATAAATAGTTATCGAGTGTCCCCAGAGCCAACCTTGCATGCATTCAATAAGTGCATTTTAAAGGGAATTGAAATTAAATTCATTTTGTTCAAGAAAGTAACTTTTGGTGCCTGTCTGGGTTTGGATGGCCCTAATGCAGACCTCCAGAGATAGAATTGGAGTGCAGGCACTTTATTTGGGAGATGATCTCAGGAATCCTGACTAGAACAGTGGGAAAAGTGAGTCAGGGAAGGCAGATAACCTAAACAGTACTGGGGAGAAAGGTAATTGCTGTGTGCCACTGGGCTTCAAACCCAGAAGGAACAGTAGGAGGAAGCACATGAACAGAACCTTACAAAATCCCAAGCAGCCAACTCTACTCCCCTGCTGCCATACACGCCTCACCTGCTTCCCAGGTGCTGAGGACTAGAGTGGGGGCTTGGGTTCTGCCAGTTCTCACACCACACTCTGCAGATTCTATCATCCCCAGCCCCAAGCCCCATCTACCATCAGGGACAAGTCAGTTGTTCTTCCTAACAATGTTGTCCACAACCCCAGCCTATGGGTAATTAATCTCACTCGAAATCTCACTTTTAAATCATTATGAGTGATACTTACGATCTGGTCTTCAACCTTTTTTGCTCACCTATTTCCTAAAATAGTTTCAAAAGACTGTGCACACCCTACTTAAGTTGACATCTACATTTTTTTATCAAAAATTTAGTTCCTAGATGGAACTTCCAGCTAGTTATAAATATTGAAAATCTAAATAAAATTGTTACTCCATTCTTTTAAATGTTTCCAAGGAAATATAAATCCAAGAGGAAATTGAATGGACTCACCATGGTCCATTCAAAGACATAAATGCCCACGTGTATCTTGTTTCAAAATGTTCCTTCAAGTCGTATTTTCATTTCATTGTCCCCAGAGAACTTTATCCTAATATAAAAAATATATCTGAAACAATGTTGCTAAATAAGCCTATCTCATGATTGAGTGAAAAAAACGTGTCAATTGGCATTAATTTTTAATTTCCTGTGACCATACAAGTTCAAATTTTTTATTTTCTTCAGATAAAATGTCATCATACTTCTCATTTTGTACACAATTAATCAAAAATGCAGTATATTTAAAATTTTGCTAAACATACAAATTCTACCAGAAAATTATTTGTTAATGAAATGGACAGGATTAGTTTGTTTTTCCTAATTAGTCCATCTCTTCATGAATGAGTAATACTTGTTGCTAGGATGAGACAGAGGCCATAATTAATGTTATTCCTCATTTTAGAAACTGACACTAAGACTTGCTTTTAGAAACATAAAGTGTAGCTGGAAATGGAATAGATTTTGTTATAGCAATGTATTTCAATTTTTTGGACTTTTTTAACTCCATCCAAACATAGCTGAGAGGTCTGTCATCACATGTTGGTTTGAGTAATCCTGAGTAGGTCTTCAGTTTGGTTTGGAGCAACGCATTAAACCCGTCTGAACTGTAAAAGCACGTGCTTGCCAGTCATCAGAGCAGTTTGCCTTCTCAACATCAGCATTTCCCAACCAGAGGCCAACCACAGTCCCCTAGTTGGACACCCAGGGATTCTTTCTTCACAACAAACACAGGAGTGAATAAAGGGGGAGGGGAGTGGGAAAAGGGCAAGTGTGAAAAGAAAACAGGAAGAAACCCTACACAGAGTCAATGTGTGTATAGACCAATCCCCCCGAGAAAAGAGGACACAGAAAATTTGAGGAATCGACAGGCTAACACTGCCCACATCCCCGCACAGCCCCTTGGGAAGCCTGAATCCTCAGGGTGTCATGCACACTCGTACACCCTGTTCACAATTCACTGGCACTGGTAGACTCTGTGACCCCTGGGTCCTTCTGACCCTTGCCTTGGAAATTTCAAAGGCCAGCGTTTTGAAAACCGAACACTGAGAATTAACTCCTTGGTTTGGCTATATCATCATCCTTTGGACAAGTTCATGAAACCCTAATGCTCTGCCTGCTGTCTGAAAAGGAAAGAAGGAACGGGGCAAAGAGTTACCAGAAAAAATATAGCACATTAGTTAACATTTCAAAGTTGCACCTTGCCACAAATTAAAAGAGTCTGCTCAAAATAGCAAGCAACAGCCTGCATTCTGAGTGTTACAGGGTTCACCAAATCCAGATTATTAAGCAAATAATCTGATTTGGGTTGTCAGTTGAGACTCAAGATTCCCGTAGAAGACAAGGCAGAGGGCAACAAGATGACAAAAATAAAGGTGCTAGAAATTACCCCTATTCAGGAAAAAGTGAAGAGAACAGTTTGGTCGATGTTCATACAACAGACAAAGGGGAGACAACACAGTCAAAGTTAAAGGGGCAGTGAGGAATCCATGGAGACGCCTGGACAGGGGAAGCACCTGCAATGGCCATCCTTAATGATCTTGACGTTCATTCAGGCAGAACCAACACAGATCATGTGGATTTTATGCCATTGAAAGTATGTCTGAAAATTGAGACTTCCGGCAAGATGGAGGCATAGGTGGATGCACGGTACCTCCACACACAACCAAGATTAGAACAACAATTTAGAGGCAGAATAACACCCAGAACTTACAGAGAATTTATCTGAATGCAAGTTGGAGAGCCAAGAAGTTGAAGTGGACCCGTTCATCCAGACCGGTAGGAGGGTCAGAGAGAAACAGCCAGGCACAGGTCTTGGCATGCGGAGAACAGGGAGAACTGGGCACATAAAGCAACCAGGGGCACATAAGGTATCTGGGGTACGCAAGATCGCAGTGGGTGGACCCTGAGTACGCAAGGGGCAGCTGGCAGACCCAGTGAGGCGGAGAGTGTGAACCAGGGCAGAGCGCGCAACCCAGGATCCCAGAAAAGGGACTGAGGACCCAGGAGAAAGTAGCTACCACCATTATTCTCTCCCACCCCCGCACCCACGTACTATGCCACAATCTAGCCACTGGGGTGCCCAGCCCTCGTGAACACCTCAGGCTCCCCCCCTCACTGTAACAGGAGGACCAGAGCAAAAAAAAAGAAAAGAAAAGAAAAAAAGAGAGAGAGAGACATGTCTCAAAAACAAGAACAGATCAATGCCCCAGGACTCATCATTTTAAGCGACGGAGAGATAGCCAATCCATCAAGATGCACAGTTCAAAACACTGGTGATCAGGAAGCTCACAGAATTGGTTGAATTTGGGTGCAAATTAGATGAACAAATGCAAGTTACCATAAAAGAGATGCAGGAAAATGCACGAAGAACCAATAGTGATGGGAAGGAAACTGGGACTCAAAACAATAGAGGGGACCAGAAGAAAGAAAGAAACAACCAAACAGAAAAGAATGGAGAAATAAGAATTCAAAAAAAATGAGGAGGAGCTTAGGAACTTCCAGGACATCTTTAAACGTTCCAACATCAGAATTATAAGGGTACCAGAAGGGGAAGAGGAAAAGCAACAGGTTGAACACGTACTTGATCAAGTAATAAAGGAGAACTTCCCCATTCCAGCAAAGGAAATAGACCTTCAGGAAGTCCAGGAAGCTCAGACAATCCCAAAGAAGTTGGACCCAAAAGGAAACACACCAAGGCATATCATAATTACACTACCCAAGGTAAAAATGAAGGAGAGAATCCTAGAAGCAGCAAGAGATAAGGGGGCAGTAACCTACAAAGGAGTTCCCATCAGACTGTCAACTGGTTTCTCAAATAGACCTTAAAGGCAAGAAGGGGCTGGAAAGAAGTATTCCAAGTCATGAAACTCAAGGACCTATATCCCAGATTACTCTATCCAGCAAAGCTTTCCTTTACAATGGAAGGGCAGATAAAGTGCTTCTCAGATAAGGTCAAGTTAAAGGAGTTCATCATCACCAAGCCCTTATTATATGAAATGTTAAAGGGACTTATCTAAGAAAAGAAGATAAAGAAAAAACATGTATAGTAAAAGGACAGCAAACTCACAATTATTAACAACCACACCTAAAGCAGAACCAAAAGAAACTAAGCAAACAAGTAGAACAGGAACAGAACCACAGAAATGGAGATCACATGGAGGGTTAGCAACAGGGGAGTGGGAGGAGGAGAGAAGGGGAAAAGGTTCAGAGAATAAGTATCATAGATGGTAGACTGAAAATAGATAGGGGGAGGGTAAGAATAGTATGGGAAATGTAGAAGCTAAAGAACTTATAAGTATGACACATGGACATGAACTAAAGGGGGGAATGTGGGTGGGAGAGGGTATACAGGGTGGAGGGAACTGAAGGGGGAAATGGGACAACTGTAATAGCATAATCAATAAAATATATTAAAAAAAGAAAGTATGTCATAAAATTAAATAAAATCCACAGGCGGATAAACTCAAAAGAACAGGGTGACAGGTCTTGCCTCTGTGTCAACTTTGCAGTGATTGGATTAGATTTGGAAAGGTGTTAAATGGACCTTTATTTCACACAGAGTGTGTGCTCAATGGTAATAATCTGCACCGGTCTGCTGCTGCTTCATCACAGCAAGGCGAGTGGTTTCGTGAGGTCTTAACCAGTTGGTTCCTAATGATTTCTTGGCTGAACGGTTTATTTACAGAATTCACAGGGATTCCTCCTATGGTAGGGCAAGTTGGCACACCAAAATGGTCTCAGATGAAGTTTAATTACCAAGATTTTTCCTGGAAATGTAAAAGAAAACAATAAATTTGATATTTCTTTTCTAAACAATAGCAATAACAATAAGGACTGTCTCATCCTGCCCTTGACACCAATATTCAGCTAGAGACACTGGGACTCTCTTCTATTATGACACCGAAATAAACTTTCTTCCCAGAGCGCCCGTGGTGAGGAGACTGATGCCCCCTCTGCCCAGGAAGATGCCCACAAACTCATGCCTGGAGCCTGTGAGTACGTCCTCTTGCAGGCAACCGAGACTTTGCAGAGCGATGAGGGCCTAGAGTCAGGGAGGTTTTCCTGGGTTGGCTGCAGGAGCTCCGTGGAACCACAAGGGGCGGTAAGAGTGAAAGAAGGAGGCACGCAGGTCTGAATCAAAGGGAACACGATGGTGGAAGCAGAGACTGGAGAGATGTGGGGCTGTGGGCCACGGAGTGTGGATGACATCCAGAAACCAGGAAAGGCAAGAGAGCAGATACCGCGCCCATGCCCCAACCCCAGTCTTCAGAAGGAGCCGGCCCTGCTGCCACCTTATGTCTAGCTCAGCAAGACCCATTTCAGACTTCAGACCTCCAGAACGGTGGGGTAGAAAAAAAGATGTTGTTTTAAACACTCAATTTGTGTAAATTTGTCACAGGAACATAGGAAACTAACACAGTACCCTAGTTAGATGGCAGGTATTTTTATAAATTAACTGTGTAGGCATACTACATATTAACTATACATTAAAATTTGATGTCTCCTAAAATGCAATCCTTTTTAATAATTATCACCTGTGACTTTTGATTACCCTATGTAATCTAATGCAGATATGAAAATACGTATATCACCAGGTTAGGCCCAAAGGAAACAGAGAGGAGGGTAGCAGAACCTGGGGGGTTATTCAAAATCGTGGGCCTCCCTAAAGGGTGGGAAATTTATCAACTGTGCTTTTCTCTTCTACTCAAGAACTTCCAAATATTTGCCCCAAAACCCAAGAATAAGAGAGAATTCTAAGTATGTCTCCAGTGGACAAATACATGTTTATTTTTTCCTAAATTCACTGTGTAGACAACCGGATAAGAAGTCAGAGACCACTGGATGTGAAAAAGTATTAGGTTTCTTAAAATGGATGAAATCCAAATATCATGGGCCAGCTTGAATTCTGGTGAACCTAATGATTTTTTAAAAAATATCTCTTAGAACTGCTCTGCATGCCAGGTCCCAGGGTAAAACCACCAGTAGGAATTGATCTGTTGGATTTTGTAAAATCCATATGCTGTTCTGTTTTTAACTTTACAAAAAAAAAATCTGAAAGTGGACTGACACCGGCAAGTGAGCCACATTTGGTCCTGGCCCCTGCGGGACCCGCCTATCCCAAAGTGCATCTCCTTTTTGAAAACTGCTCAGTGCATTCTGTTACCTTCAGGGAGGGTGCTGCTCGTAAATGCGTCTCCATAAGCCCTCTAATATAATCACCAACCTCATTTATGCCCCACATGGTTGTTCCTTAACAGGCACATGGGTACCCACAAGGTACCTGAGAAGCATCTGCTCCATGACCTTCATACTTACTTAGCCAGTTCCAAGCACAATCTCAAGTCCAACCCTTCATTCCTACGGTTAAGCCCCAGCCAGGAAGTGATGGGGAGAAATAAGAAACAAAGGAGTCATGCCCGGGCCAACATTATGCTTAGACTCATCTCCAATATCAAGTTCAAGAGTCAGTTCCCTAATCCACCCATTCTCACATTTCACCTTCCAAAAAGGTAACATGAGCTCCTACTAGAAACATATGTGGAAAATAGCAGCATTTGGGAAGAAGGGAAAAAGCAAGGTTGGCCAAAACATCCACAGAGGAGTTCAGACCTAAGGCAGTGAAGTCTTTCTCAGAAGGACAGTAAGCCCCCGCTCAGAACAGACGTGGCTAGCTATGGCCCACCACCAGCTCTGCCTGCCTGCCCGCCTTTGTAAATAAAGTTTTATTGGAAAACAGCCATGCCCATTAGCGTCCCTATTGCCTGTAGCTGCTTACCAGAAACAAGGGGCAGAGTGAAGAAGTTGCCATAGAGACCACGTGTCCCCCCCACCCACCAAAAAAAAGATAAAAATATTGACCCTGTGCACCTGTACAGAAAACATTTGCTGACCCCTGATCTAGAGTTCCAGATTTTGCTGAGAACAGTCATTATCAGCATTCCCTGAAGCTATTGTATTTTCCGATAAGAATATGAACAGAGGAAAGTTGAACTGTGTCTGAATGTCTGTCACAAAGAATGAGGAGGCGTCTGCCTTGGCCTCAAATGCGGATCTCAGCCTCATTACTCTGTAGCCCTGAGTTCTGAGAATTTTTCTTGTTGTTGTTAACATTTAGTAAACTTATCTTTAGGAACTTGAAAGGTGGTTGGGAACATCTCTGAGGTTTAATTTCTCTTTTTTATTATTTTTTTAATCATTGTTCAAATACAGTTTTCTCCTTTTTACTCCCAATCCAGTCCCCCCTCCCACCCTCCCCTTAGTCTATGACCATGTGTCCTTTAAGTTTGTTCCTGTGAACCCTTCCCACTGTCCCCTTAAATTCCCTCTTCTCTCCCCTCTGGTCACCATCAGCCTGTCCTCTATTTCAGTGTCTTTGGTTATATTTTGCTTGTTTCTTTGTTTTGTTATTTAGGTTCTTGTTCAAGGTGAGATCATATGGTATTTGTCTTTCACTGCCTGGCTTGTTTCGCTTAGCATAATGTTTTCCAGCTCCATCCACGCTGTTGCAAAGGGTAGAAGCTCCTTCTTTCTTTCTGCTGCATAGAATTCCATTGTGTAAATGTACCATAGTTTTTTGATCCATTCATTTACTGATGGGCATCTTGGTTGCTTCCAGCATCTAGCTATTGTCAATTGTGCTGCTATGAACATTGGGATGCATAGGTTCTTTTGAATTTGTGTTTTAGTATTCTTAGGATATAGTCCCAGCAGTGGAATTGCAGGGTCAAAAGGCAGATCTATTTTCAGTTTTCTGAGGAAGTTCCATACTGCTTTCCATAGTGGTTGTACCAGTCTGCAGTCCCACCAGCAGTGCACTAGGGTCCCTTTTTCTCCACAACCTCTCCAACACTTGTTGTTTGTTGCTTTGTTTATGATGGCCATTCTGTCTGGTGTGAAGTGGTATCTCATTGTGGTTTTAATTTGCATCTCTCTGATAGCTAGCGATATTGAACATCATTTCATGTGTCTTTGGATTTTCTGTATGTCCTCCTTGGAGAAGTGTCTGTTCAAGTCCTTTGCCCACTTTTTAATTGGATTCCTTGTCTTCTTAGAGTGCAGTCGTGTAAGTTCTTTGTATATTTTGGAGATTAAACCCTTGTCTGAGGTGTCATTGGCAAATATGTTTTCCCATACAGTTGGTTCTCTTTTAATTTTGATACTGTTTTCTTTAGCTGTGCAGAAGCTTTTAATTTTGATGAGGTCCCATTTGTTTATTCTTTCCTCTATGTCCCTTGCTCTAGGGGACACGTCAGTAAAAAAGTTTCTTCGTGAAATATCTGAGATTTTCCTACCTATGTTCTCCTCTAGGACTTTAATGGTGTCATGTTTTATATTTAAGTCTTTTATCCACCTTGAATTTATTTTTGTATATGGTGTAAGTTGGTGCTCAAGTTTCATTTTTTTGCACGTGGCTGTCCAGTTCTCCCAACACCATTTGTTGAAAAGGCTATTTTTATTCCATTTTATGTTGCTGCCTCCTTTGTCAAATATTAATTGACCATAGAGACTTGGGCTTATTTCTGGGCTCTCTGTTCTGTTCCATTGGTCTATGTGCCTGTTTTTATGCCAGTACCAGGCTGTTTTGATTACAGTAGCCTTGTAGTATAGTTTATTGTCGGGTATTGTGATCCCTCCTACTTTACTCTTCTTTTTCAAAATTGCAGCAGCTATTCAGGGTCGTTCATAATTCCATATAAATTTTTGAAGTGTTTGTTCTATGTCTGTGAAATACGCCATTGGTACTTTAATAAGAATTGCATTGAATGTGTATATTGCTTTGGGTAGTATGGACATTTTGATGATATTAATTCTTCCAATCCATGAACATGGTATATGTTTCCATTTGTTTGTGTCTTCCTTGATTTCTTTCTTCAGTGTTGTGTAGTTTTCTGAATACAGGTCTTCTACCTCTTTGGTTAGGTTTATTCCTAGATATTTTATTTTTTTCTTTTTTGCTATTTCAAATGGGCTTTTTTTCCTTGATCTCTGCTTCTGCTGTTTCATTGTTGGTGTACAGAAATGCCTTTGATTTCTGGATATTGACTTTGTATCCCGCTGTTTTGCCAAATTCATTTATTAGGTCAAGCAGTTTTTTGGTAGAGTCTATAGGATTTTCTATGTATACTATCATGTCATCTGCAAACAGTGACAGTTTTGTTTCCTCCTTTCCGATTTGAATGCCTTTTATTTCTTTTTCTTGTCTGATTGCTTTGGCTAAAATTTCCAGTACTATATTGAATAGAAGTGGTGAAAGTGGACAGCCTTGTCTTGTTCCTGATCTTAATGGAAAAGGTTTTAATTTTTGCCCATTGAGAATGATGTTGGCTGAAGGTCTCTCATATATGGCCTTTGTTGAGGAATGCTCCCTCTATTCCCACTTTGCCGAGTGTTTTTATCGTGAATGGGTGCTGTACCTTATCAAATGCTTTTTCTGCATCAATTGATATAATCATGTGGTTTTTGTCTTTGCTTTTGTTTATGTGATGTATTACATTTACTGACTTGCGAATATTGAACCATCCTTGCATCCCTGGAATGAATCCCACTTGGTCATGGTGCATAATCTTATTAATGTATTGTTGGATGCAGTTTGCCAGTATTTTATTGAGGATTTTACCGTCAATGTTCATCAGTGATACTGGCCTGAAGTTTTCTTTCTTTGTTGTGTCTTTATTTGGTTTTGGAATTAGGATGATGTTGGCCTCATAAAAAGAGTTTGGGAGACTCCCATCTTTTTGGATTTTTTTGAATAGTCTGTGAAGGATAGGGGTTAGCTCTCCCTTAAATGCTTTGTAGAATTCTCCTGTGAAACCATCTGGTCCCGGGCTTTTGTGTGTTGGGAGTTTTTTTGATTACTGCTTCAATTTCTTTTGTTGTTATTGGTCTGTTCAGACTTTCTGCTTCTTTTTCATTGAGTTTTGGAAGATTATATTTTTTCTAGAAAGTTGTCCATTTCATCTAGGTTTTCAAATTTCTTGGAATACAGCTCTTTGTAGTAATTTCTTACAATCCTTTGTATTTCTGTGGTATCTGTTGTA